AATTCTATGGTTGAATGGCTCTATAGATTGTTGAATGGTTATGTGAATTGTTGAATTTCTTCTATAGATTGGATGGTTGATGTATATGAGCCATTCAACAACCTATAGAGCCATTCAACAATCTATAGAGCCAGTTAATAGGTTGTTGAATGGCTCTATAGGTTGTTGAATGATTATCTGCAATGTTTTATGGCTATATGGATTGTTGTCTGGCTCTATGGAATGTTGAATGGCTTTGCATTTGCTTGGTAATTTATTCTCTTCTTTTATTCGGGAATACTGGTCTGACCCCTTTAGACGCAGCCGGAGGCAGGACGTCAAGTACGGGAACCCCATCCGGCAGTGCAGGGGCTTCAACTCCAATGGTAAGACCAGTATGTGCCAGTACCAGTGGGTGGATGGGTTAGAGATTTGTCTGCTAAATGACTAAAATGTAAAAATGTAAATTTTCAATGGCGGTGAATCCATCTCATTCATTTTGAGAGGACTGACTTAATTTATGCCATCACGCACCAGCACTTTCATCTAATAGATATAAAATAAAACATTGCTCTTTTGGATTTTTGGTCTTTGTGGGACATGATACTGAATCTATGGTTGCCATGGTGTCTTTCTCTCTCAGCTAATAAGAACACCCTGGAGATGGTGCAGTATGGGGTGGAGGGCAGCAGCACCTTCCTGGAGTGCCAGGCCCGTTCTCCCCACGCAGCCATCAAGTGGCACCTGCAGAGGGACAACAGTGACCGCCGGAAAGAGGTAAGCAGCCATCTATGACGCACACAATATCACTCAAACTAGTTTTCTTCCCAAAACACTGTTGAGATCTATACTCTCTGCCCAATTGAACTGTATACTCAGACATATTAAGGGATACCATGAACTAAGGTAACTCGAACCATACATCACCTCTCTGACAGGGAGTTTATAGGTTTAGGAGTAAATCTCTCAAGAATGACATGATGTTCCCCTCTCTTGACAGCACTTCTTATTCTGTTACATAATGATGGTGAAGTGTCTTTGTCAGGCTGCTGTATGTTTAATCTGAAAGCTGACGTTGTCGGTCTATTGATGTATTACTGTTGTCAGTCTATTGATGTATTACTGTTGTCAGTCTATTGATGTATTACTGTTGTCAGTCTATTGATGTATTACTGTTGTCCGTCTTTTGATGTATTACTGTTGTCAGTCTATTGATGTATTACTGTGATAAAGAGATAACATCCATCCAGATATGATAACCAGGTGGTTGGTTTTCATTTACATTTACATTTACGTCATTTAGCAGACGCTCTTATCCAGAGCGACTTACAAATAGGTGCATTCACCTTATAGCCAGTGGGATAACCACTTTACAATATTGTTGTTGTTGTTTTTTTTTTGTTTTTTTTGGGGGGGGGGTTGGAGTAAAGGGGGGGGGTAGAAGGATTACTTTATCCTATCCCAGGTATTCCTTAAAGAGGTGGGGTTTCAAATGTCTCCGGAAGGTGGTGAGTGACTCCGCTGTCCTGGCGTCGTGATGGAGCTTGTTCCACCATTGGGGTCGCAGAGCAGCGAACAGTTTTGACTGGGCTGAGCGGGAACTATGCTTCCGCAGAGATAGGGGAGCCAGCAGGCCAGAGGTGGATGAACGCAGTGCCCTCGTTTGGGTGTAGGGACTGATCAGAGCCTGAAGGTACGGAGGTGCCGTTCCCCTCACAGCTCCGTAGGCAAGCACCATGGTCTTGTAGCAGATGAGAGCTTCAACTGGAAGCCAGTGGAGTGTGCGGAGGAGCGGGGTGACGTGAGAGAACTTGGGAAGGTTGAACACCAGACGGGCTGCGGCATTCTGGATGAGTTGTAGGGGTTTAATGGCACAGGCAGGGAGCCCAGCCAACAGCGAGTTGCAGTAATCCAGACGGGAGATGACAAGTGCCTGGATTAGGACCTGTGCCGCTTCCTGTGTAAGGCAGGGTCGTACTCTCCGAATGTTGTAGAGCATGAACCTACAGGATCGGGTCACCGCCTTGATGTTAGCGGAGAACGACATGGTGTTGTCCAGGGTCACGCCAAGGCTCTTCGCACTCTGGGAGGAGGACACAACGGAGTTGTCAACCGTGATGGCGAGATCATGGAACGGGCAGTCCTTCCCCGGGAGGAAGAGCAGCTCCGTCTTGCCGAGGTTCAGCTTGAGGTGGTGATCCGTCATCCATACTGATATGTCTGCCAGACATGCAGAGATGCGATTCGCCACCTGGTTATCAGAAGGGGGAAAGGAGAAGATTAGTTGTGTGTCGTCAGCGTAGCAATGATAGGAGAGGCCATGTGAGGATATGACAGAGCCAAGTGACTTGGTGTATAGCGAGAATAGGAGAGGGCCTAGAACTGAGCCCTGGGGGACACCAGTGGTGAGAGCACGTGGTGCGGAGACAGCTTCTCGCCACGCCACTTGGTAGGAGCGACCGGTCAGGTAGGACGCAAGAGTGAGCCGCGCCGGAGATGCCCAGCTCGGAGAGGGTGGAGAGGAGGATCTGATGGTTCACAGTATCAAAGGCAGCAGACAGGTCTAGAAGGACAAGAGCAGAGGAGAGAGAGTTAGCTTTAGCAGTGCGAAGAGCCTCTGTGACACAGAGAAGAGCACTCTCAGTTGAATGACCAGTCTTGAAACCTGACTGGTTTGGATCAAGAAGGTCATTCTGAGAGAGATAGCAAGAGAGTTGGCTAAAGACGGCACGCTCAATAGTTTTGGAGAGAAAAGAAAGAAGGGATACTGGTCTGTAGTTGTTGACATCAGAGGGATCGAGTGTTGGTTTTTTGAGAAGGGGTGCAACTCTCGCTCTCTTGAAGACGGAAGGGACATAGCCAGCGGTCAAGGATGAGTTGATCAGCGAGGTGAGGTAAGGGAGAAGGTCACCGGAGATGGTCTGGAGAAGAGAGGAGGGAATAGGGTCAAGCGGGCAGGTTGTTGGGCGGCCTGCCGTCACAAGTCGCAAGATTTTATCTGGAGAGAGAGGGGAGAAAGAAGTCAAAGCATAGGGTAGGGCAGTGTGAGCAGGACCAGCAGTGTCATTTGACTTAACAAACGAGGATCGGATGTCGTCAACCTTCTTTTCAAAATGGTTGACGAAGTCATCCACAGAGAGGGGGGGGATTCAGCAGGGAGGAGAATGTGGCAAAGAGCTTCCTGGGGTTAGAGGCGGATGCTTGGAATTTAGAGTGGTAGAAAGTGGCCTTAGCAGCAGAAACAGATGAAGAAAATGTAGAGAGGAGGGAGTGAAAAGATGGCAGGTCTGCAGGGAGTCTAGTTTTCTTCCATTTCCGCTCAGCTGCCCGGAGCTCTGTTCTGTGAGCTCGCAATGAGTCATCAAGCCACGGAGCTGGAGGGGAGGACCGAGCCGCCAGGAGGATAGGGGACATAGAGAGTCAAAGGATGCAGAAAGGGAGGAGAGGAGGGTTGAGGAGGCAGAATCAGGAGATTGGAGGGAGAAGGATTGAGCAGAGGGAAGAGATGATAGGATGGAAGAGGAGAGAGTAGCGGGAGAGAGAGAGCGAAGCTTGCGACGGCGCATTACCATCTGTGTAGGGGCAGAGTGAGTAGTGTTTGGAGGAGAGGGAGAGAGAAAAGGATACAAAGTAGTGGTCGGACACTTGGAGGGGAGTTGCAGTGAGATTAGTAGAAGAACAGCATCTAGTAAAGATGAGGTCAAGCGTATTGCCTGCCTTGTGAGTAGGGGGGGGCGGTGAGAAGGTGAGGTCAAAAGAGGAGAGGAGTGGAAAGAAGGAGGCAGAGAGAAATGAGTCAAATGTAGACGTAGGGAGGTTGAAATCCCCCAGAACTGTGAGGGGTGAGCCATCCTCAGGAATGGAGCTTATCAAGGCGTCAAGCTCATTGATGAACTCTCCAAGGGAACCTGGAGGGCGATAGATGACAAGGATATTAAGCTTAAATGGGCTAGTGACTGTTTTCAACCTGAAGTGGTAAAGCCCAAACTGTCCCAGTACCAAAAGGATGGGCCCATACATAAAACAACATAAGACCCGCTCATAGTTTCTCACCATGAGGCGATTGTTAAACTTTATAGTGTAACTTATGTTTCATTGGCTTTTCTGTTGGATTCTGCCTATCCCCATTGGCATGGCTCAGTTGGCAGGGCTGTTGCTCAGCACATCTGATTCTGGATAGAAAATCTGTCAGCGGCTAATAACACTCTTGGATATGTATCAGGGAAACATCAAAAGACAATGGAAAACATCACTAGAGCACTTACTTAACTGCAGGTCAATGTGGATTGTGTTAGTGGAAGAATGTACAGGTAGTCATAACACTGATATAGTGGTATAGTTGGTGGTTGGTGATGATGCTGTGCTGCCAACAAGAGCAGGAAATTAGCTGTCAGCTTGGCCTCTCCTCTGATGTTTCTAACCTGGCATTACATCTTGCCTTATTTCTTCCTTGTAGCTCATAACTCTCTCTCTCTCTCGCTCTCGCTCCCGCTCTCTCTCACACTCTTTCTCTCGCTCTCTTCTCTCTCTTTCTCTCTCTCACTCTCTCTCTCTCACGCTCCCTCTCTCTCTCTCTCTCTCTCTCTCTCTCTCTCTCTCTCTCTCAGATGCGCTCTGACGGGCGGGTACTGAAGACAGAGCAGGGTCTGCTGCTGCGTTCTCTCCAGCCCTCAGACTCCGGGGTGTACCAGTGCACGGCCACAGAGAAGAACTTCAAACACACGCTGGTCAAGCTGCAGCTGGTGGTCCTGTCCGGCCGAGCCGTCAACAACCTCCTGGTGGAGGGTGGGGGGCTGGGGCCGTCTCCGCCCAGTGCGGGTCAGTACAAGGACCTGCTGACCATCCTGAGCCAGCCGGAGATGGGCCTAATCAACCAGTACTGTGAGGACTACTGGAAGCTGGGTGACCCCATGATGGGAGCCATAAAGGGCAAAGACACGAAAGAGCTAAAGGAGCAGAAGAAACCACGCAACCGCCGACATCACGGCGAGGGAGAGGAGGAGGAGGAGGTGGAGACATGAGGGGTCCCTTAACTCTCCCAAACCTCAACCGCACCCTATGGAAACTGGGAAAGACTCAATTTAAGAGAGTGACGAGGTGAAAGATAATCAAAAACCACAAATAAAATAAACAGAAGTGGTAAAAAACAAGAGGCATACAAACACACCCCACATCCCTTTGAACAATACAGTATATGATACACAGTATTTATTGTAGGTTGTATATAGTATCATTCTGTGGATTTCTTTGTACTTATAGAAAAATGCTCTTTGTGTATAGGTACCTTTTGGGCAAATGTTATTGTTATTATTGTTATTAATTGTATTATTGTTGTTACTGTCATTACAAAATTCTTAATCTTTCCATCTTTCAACATTGACAGCTCTGTTTGGAATGTGTAAACTGGCATGTAAAGGCTGTTCATTGTGAACTGAAAGGTGTCATTGTAAACAGAGAAATTAACTGAGGGTTGGGGTAGATGGAGATACAGTATATCTTGCTTCTTGTTTGCTTTGACAGAAATTCAATAGTAATATTATGAATAAAATCACATTGTAGGATTTTTAATGAATTTATTTGCAATTTATGGTGGAAAATAAGTATTTGGTTAATAACAAAAGTTTCTCAATACTTTGTTATATATCCTTTGTTGGCAATGACACAGGTCAAACGTTTTCTGTAAGTCTTCACAAGGTTTTCACACACTGTTGCTGGTATTTTGGCCCATTCATCCATGCAGATCTCCTCTAGAGCAGTGATGTTTTGGGGCTGTCGCTGGGCAACACAGACTTTCAACTCCCTCCAAAGATTTTCTATGGGGTTGAGATCTGGAGACTGGCTAGGCCACTCCAGGACCTTGAAATGCTTCTTACGAAGCCACTCCTTCGTTGCCCGGGCGGTGTGTTTGGGATCATTGTCATGCTGAAAGACCCAGCCACGTTTCATCTTCAATGCCCTTGCTGATGGAAGGAGGTTTTCACTCAAAATCTCACGATACATGGCCCCATTCATTCTTTCCTTTACACGGATCAGTCGTCCTGGTCCCTTTGCAGAAAAACAGCCCCAAAGCATGATGTTTCCACCCCCATGCTTCACAGTAGGTATGGTGTTCTTTGGATGCAACTCAGCATTCTTTGTCCTCCAAACACGACGAGTTGAGTTTTTACCAAAAAGTTATATTTTGGTTTCATCTGACCATATGACATTCTCCCAATCTTCTTCTGGATCATCCAAATGCACTCTAGCAAACTTCAGACGGGCCTGGACATGTACTGGCTTAAGCAGGGGGACACGTCTGGCACTGCAGGATTTGAGTCCCTGGCGGCGTAGTGTGTTACTGATGGTAGGCTTTGTTACTTTGGTCCCAGCTCTCTGCAGGTCATTCACTACGTCCCCCCGTGTGGTTCTGGGATTTTTGCTCACCGTTCTTGTGATCATTTTGACCCCACGGGGTGAGATCTTACGTGGAGCCCCAGATCGAGGGAGATTATCAGTGGTCTTGTATGTCTTCCATTTCCTAATAATTGCTCCCACAGTTGATTTCTTCAAAACAAGCTGCTTACCTATTGCAGATTCAGTCTTCCCAGCCTGGTGCAGGTCTACAATTTTGTTTCTGGTGTCCTTTGACAGCTCTTTGGTCTTGGCCATAGTGGAGTTTGGAGTGTGACTGTTTGAGGTTGTGGACAGGTGTCTTTTATACTGATAACAAGTTCAAACAGGTGCCATTAATACAGGTAACGAGTGGAGGACAGAGGAGCCTCTTAAAGAAGAAGTTACAGGTCTGTGAGAGCCAGAAATCTTGCTTGTTTGTAGGTGACCAAATACTTATTTTCCACCATAATTTGCAAATAAATTCATTAAAAATCCTACAATGTGATTTTCTGGATTTTTTTCTCTCAATTAGTCTGTCATAGTTGACGTGTACCTATGATGAAAATTACAGGCCTCTCTAATCTTTTTAAGTGGGAGAACTTGCACAATTGGTGGCTGACTAAATACGTTTTCCCCCCACTGTATACACTATCCAACCAAATGCTTACTTGCAGGTTCCTTCTCGACAATGCAACAACAATAAGAAATAATAAAAGATAAGAATACGAACATAAAGTAAATGTCTCAGTAGAATAGAATAGAGATTTTAGCATAACTATAATACAGGAAGGCATAATTTATTGTCCAATATTTACACGTGTTTTGGGGAAGAGGGGATTGGGGGGCAAGTTCAATGGCAGAGGATGCACAAATGCCTCCACTCATTGGATAGCTATCCCTGTGAACCTGGTGTCTAAATGAGTATGTTGAACACCCTTGCTATTTTATTGGCTCCCCAAATAGGTTGATGGTTTTTATTTCTGGCTTCATTGGTTATTCCTCACTGTACAGTAAATGCCATTGTCTCAGGCAAACCAGTTGTTATAAATGCAGTGTTGCTATGTATCCTATGCATGAAAACAGCTCTACATGGCCAGAATCAGTGAAGGTATCAATATATCAAACATTTCCAAGGCAATTCATATTTGTGTGGGGAGGAAGGTTGACACTAAGGTCAATCGAATAGATATTTTAACAAAAGGATGAAAAAAATGATAAAAATCTTACCTTTCAGCTGCTCACTTGTGGTAAACTACGTTGTGAAAATGTTAAAGTTAAAATAATCAAAAGAAACAAACACCATAGATACTTATCAAAAAAATATTTTAAGGCTTTCTTTGGTTTATCTAAATATCCAATGGGATTGAGTGTGAGGTACAGTAAAGAAAGGGTCAAGGTTTTGGAACAAAGGGCATTATTCTCTCATCTTTAAAAGATTGACTTGGATCTTATGGAAGGTATTAGATATTCAAAACATTGACCAGGGCCAAACCTAGCACACTTTGGCCAAATAAATTTAATTTTGGTCGACAAAAACAAGCACAATTAAGCTTGAGATGTTGTGGTACCCAGATGACTTTCACTAAGCAGCCATTTTGGTTCTGACTAGGAGCCATCTCTTTTCATTTATTGCTGCGCTTGGCTTTACATGTACAAAAATAAATACATGTCCTTACAGAACAGAGCATTGAACAATGTTGTGACACTTACTAACCAAAATATTTGGGAAGCTGGCTTTTCATTGTGTGCATGAGTATGTATTTGTACTGTAATTATAAAACAAAAAAAACTATGTTGTAGTTTTTCTGTTCTTCCAGTGTACAGTATGGTCAACATCAGCCAAGGTGTGAGGGACAGCCTCAGTGCCGAAGAGAAACAAAATGGATGAGAACTACTATGTGTAATGTACCTACAGATATTGACATGCTCTCCCTTCCACTCTTCACTATAGAATACTATTCATTCCCAGAATAAAACCAGATAGCCCCTGTTACTCTCCTCCAGTTGAAAACAGGATGTTACAACAACAAACAGTTTTACAATTTCTTAGTCTTTTTAAGATGTGTCTTTAGTTTTGGAATGTTTTTGTTTTGTTTTTGTATTTTGTTTTTTTATTTTGTTTTTGTGTTTTGTTTTGCTCGGTTAAGACTTTCTGAAAAAAGATTAAATGCACAGACAGAAGTGACGTTGTTGTAATGACTTGTGTAAATTACTTTCTCTTCCCTTTCCATTGTTGTTGCTGACTAATAAATTAAAGCTTTATATTTATAAAAATTGAATGCTCTACTTTTATTCTGATGTTTCCATATTATATTTTGTGTATCGCTCAGAACTTTTGGGAATAAATGTTCGAAGCTACCCCAGAGAGAGAATGATGAGCTACCAGCCATTTGTGGCAGTCGAGGGCATCATTGGCAGCTTGACTGACAGTGATGCTCTGTTATTATCTAAGACGGAACCCTTGGAGGAAATACATTTACATTGTAGTAATTTAGCAGAGGCTCTTATCCAGAGCAACCTACAGTAGTGAGAGCATATCTTTTTCGTACTGGTCTCACATGGGAATTGGACCCACAATCCTGGCGTTGCAAGTGCCATGCTCTACAAACTGAGCCACATTTGGTATTTTATTAGGATCCCTATTAGCTGTTGCAAAAGCAGCAGCTACTCTTCCTGGGGTCCACACAAAACATGAAACATTACATAAAACAGAACATTAATAGACAAGAACAGCTCAAGGACAGAACTATATATATATTTTTAAAAGGCACACATAGCCTACATGTCAATACTTACACACAAACTATCTAGGTCAAATAGGGGAGAGGCATTGTGCCGTGAGGTGTTGCTTTATCTGTTTTTTGAAAACAGGTTTGCTGTTTATTTGAGCAGTATGAGATGGAACAGAGTTCCATGCAGTAATGGCTCTATATAACACTGTACGCTTCCTTGAATTTGTTCTGGATTTGGGGACTGTGAAAAGACCCCTGGTGGCATGTCTGGTGAGGTAAGTGTGTGTGTCAGAGCTGTGTGTAAATTGACTTTGCAAACAATTTGGGATTTTCAACACAATGTTTCTCATAAAAATAAGAAGTGATGCAGTCAGTCTCTCCTCAACTCTTAGCCAAGAGAAACTGGCATGCATAGAATTGATATCAGCCCTCTGATTACAATGAAGAGCGAGACATGCCGCTCTGTTTTGGGCCAGCTGCAGCTTAACTAGGTCTTTCCTTGCAGCACTGGACCACACGACTGGACAATAATTAAGATTAAACAAAACTAGAGCCTGCAGAACTTGCTTTTTGGAGTGTGGTGTCAAAAGAGCAGAGCATCTCTTCATTACTGACAGACCTCTCCCCATTTTTACAACCATTGAATCTATATGTTTTGACCATGATAGTTTACAATCTAAGGTAACGCCAAGTAATTTAGTCTCCTCCACTTGTTCAACAGCCACACCATTCATTACCAGATTCAGCTGAGGTCTAGAACTTAGGGAATGATTTGTACCAAATACAATGCTCTTAGTTTTAGAGATGTTCAGGATCAGTTTATTAGTTACCACCCATTCCAAAACAGACTGCAACTCTTTGTTAAAGGTTTCAGTGACTTCATTAGCAGTGGTTGCTGATGCATATATGGTTGAATC